ATTATGAAGTTTAGAAGGGAGATATTTTCTTAGTCATCATTCATTCATTCAGCAAACGTTTATTGAGCACCCACTATGTGGCAGACACTGTGCTAGATGTAATTTAAAAATGCACAGGCCACCCTGGCTGGTTGCTCAGTGGTTAGCACAGGCCACCCTGGCTGGGTGCTCAGTGGTTAGAGCATCAGCTTGTGGACTGAAGGGTCTGGGGTTTGATTCCAGGTCAAGGGTATGTGCCTCAGTTGTGGGTTCAGGTTCGTTCCCTGCCTGCAGTCAGGGCATGCAGGAGGCAACCAGTTGATGTGTCTCTCATATTGATGTTTCTCTCTCTCTCCCCTCTCCTTTTCACTTTCTCTACAATGGGAAAATATTTTCGGGTGAGGATTAAAAAAAAAAAAGCACAGCCCACAGTTCAAGCCTTTGGAAGCTCATGATTTAGTGAGGAAACAGACCACCTATAAATACTATCAAGGCATGCTGCATGATTTACAGGGCCCTGGGCAAAATGTTTAAAAACTAAATATTTCAAGATGGTGACAATAGGACACTAAACTAAGTGTGGCTTGGTTTAACAAATGAGGGGTGTCAGGGTATTATAGAAATACACAGGAATTACCTAGGATGGAGACTGATTTCTAGGAGAGATGAAAACTGGGCTGACCCTATAGCATGAAGCTATCTCCCCTACAGGGACTTTCTTCTCTATTTTTCAGACTACAGGGTATCGGGGACAATCAGTTGTTCTGCCTTAAATGTCATCACTAAGAATTTTCTGCCGCATACATCCTAATTATCTATCTCCCTCTGGATCTGTGACACTGTGGTAGGCACGGGGATGTGCTGCCCAGCTCTCCCTTCAAGGACTAGTTGCCCCAGCTGCTGAGGTGTTGCTAGAAGGCAGCCTACAGGTCCCAGTATTTGGGGGGTGGGAGGGGGCCCCCTGTAGGCAAATGATCAAGGTGGAGGTATAAAGGCCTCCACCCTTATGGGCCATGTTAGCTCCAGAGCTCCCAGTAGGGTCAGCTGAGGTGGTCTGGCCAGCATTCCAGTTTAATTTCTCCCTCTACCCTAGCCTGTTTCTTCCCTTGATTCTAGTGTTGGTCCCAATGGCATTCCCTAATAAACATCCTGCACATTAAACTCCATCTCTGAATACCAGAGAACCAAACTACAACAGGTATCGAAAAGGAGTCCAGCATTGCAGGGGATTATTTGAAAATTATTGGTTATAAACATTCTTTATTTCTAAGTCCCAAAAATACAATTTATAATGGTGGAAAGGCCTGTGTGTGTGAATGTGGTTACGTTTTGGTTTAAAATCCTCAATTTATAAGGATCAACATGCCCATTAAAAGACACATTTTGTGGAAATTAATCCATGAATTTATTGCATTTCTTAAGGAAAACTATAACTATTTTTTTAGTCTGTACCTTTGGAATAATGTAGTTCATAAGTCTAGGATTTTTGGAATAGAATGTAATTTCCTTTTTTGACACACACTTATTCAATATTCAATAAATGAGCTTTCGAGAACTAGCTCATTTGGTAACTAAACTATATTGACTATCAACATGGCTTTTAGAACTTTTTGTTGTTTTAATTTGAGCTTTTTTTTTTTTTTGCTTTCCAAGCGAAAAAGATTCCTTTTTCTCTCTTTCCTTTCAGTCACACAGGTGTGTCCAGTCCTTGACTACAATTACAGAATGACAAGGAAGTGATTTTTCTTGAGATGTGGTGTCCAGACTATTGTGCACTCTTGATGAAGGTGAATCCTGAAAACACTCCAAAACAGAATTGGTTATGAGAAGTGACTTACATATTCAGGTGCTAAATCTCACACACACCAGGGCATCAGATTCTGAACATTATCAAACTTTTCAGAATTAAATATGAAACAAATACTGAGGTTTGAGGAGAGGGGCTTTTAGTATTTCCAAACCATCAGGAAGAAAAGCATGGATTCTTCAGCTTACATAGAGACAAGTTAATCTGTTGATAAATTAACAGTTTACTCATCCAATTGTCACAATACTTAGTAAGTCTAACTCACTGCCTCACTGAATTGGTGTAAGCTGTCTTTTCCCAAGTTAAGACACCAAGCAGTTATAGTGTCATCAAAAGCATTTAACATTAGATTGATTTTAACTTGTTTGAATCTCATTCATATAGATGGAAATTATAAGAGTGCAGGAAGAACCTTTTGGAGGTGATGGATATGATTATTGCATAGATTGTGGTAGTTTCATGGGTGTATACTTATCTCCAAATTCATCAAGTTGTATAAATATGTACAGCTTTTTGTATGTCAATCATACCTCAGTAAAGAAATTCCTCATAGATCCTTGGTTTGTACTTATCCTGGAATTGGAGAGAGGAAGTGTAATATATTTTATTGATTGGTTAGAGAAAATAGAAACCCTGACCTCTCATGTACCAAGAGCTTCAAATAAGGCCATTTGCTAAGGACCATAAGACAACCTTAAACAGACTCACATTTTAAGCAGAAATAATTTTCCAGATGCAAATGAGTCAATTTTAGATGATTAAGCCACTAAATTTGAATAACATAATAGAAGAAAAACAGGCTGAGAACTTTGTTTTTAGTTAACTGCGAAGTACACTACACAACAGAAAAGTGCAGCAAATAAAGAGCCCAATACTGTTTTTTTATAAACTTTAATTTTATTCTTTCCATCACCATTTAACCCTCTGTGCCCTCTCCCACCCACCCGCTCCCCCCTCAATCAATACTGTTCTAACCACCATCCAGCCTCCATAAAAAGACCATTAGAAGCACCCCCAGAAGTTCCCCTTTTATTTCACCCAAATGCCAACACCTTCCAATTTCTCAAGGTGAAGAACAATTCTGGCTCTGAACACTAGTTTAGTCATGCTTATGTCTGAACTTTATATAAATGGAATCATAAATATTCTTTTGGGTCAGGCTTAAGTTTGTGAGATTGACCTGTGTCGTTGATATAATTAATCACTCTCATTGCTGTGGAGTTTCTATTACATCAGTTTATTTTCCATCAGCTGTTGATGAGCATTTGGATTATTCCCACTCTGGGGCTATTAAGAACTCGCTGTTTCTAGGAACATCCTTGAACACATCTCTTGGAGCACATGTGGATTCATTCAGAGTGGAATTAGTGGATCGCAGAGTATACAGCTTGGGTAAATGCTGTCCAACTATTTTCCAAAGTCACTTTTTTCAAAACACACTTTTTTATACATATAGTAGTTTGTGAGAGTTCCCGCTGCTCCATTAGCCCTGGATTGGTATTCCAAGGCTGTTCAGTTTTAGCCATTCTAGTGGGTGTTTAGTGGCATCTCACTGTGGTTTCAATTTTCATTTTCCTGGTAACCAACATGAGATAGCACTTCTCCAGTTATTGGCCATTCGGATATTCTCTTTTGTGAAGTGCCCATTCAAGTCTCTGTGTCCATTTCTCTAACTTGACTTTCTGTGTTTTTCTTAATGAGTCTTAGGAGTTCTCTAGGTTCTAAGTACTGGTTCGCAGACTTTAGTCTGCACCAGAATCACCCCCTTGGGCTTAAGACATGGATTATTGATCCCTACCACCAGAGTTTTTGATTCAGTAGATAGGGAGTGAGAAACAAGAACTTGCACTTCTAACAAGTTCCCAGGTGATGCTAATGTTGCTGGGCCAGGGACCACACTGTGAGAACCAATGTTCAGTGTTTTAAATGTAGCAGCAATAGATGTTCCTTGTTATTCTATGGCAAGGTCACCTTTCAAAAAACAAAAACCTCAACAACTTCATATTTGTTCAAGCATAGGGTATAAGCTAATACTATCCTCTACTTTTTCCTGGAAATGGTGCAACTGAGTTTGCTTCAATAGCAACCATTTCAACCCGTTTGAAACGAATCTATCTGCTTAGAATATTTGGTACCTAATTAATCAAGAGAACCAGTCAGTCAGTAATGAAAGGTAGTTTTCTATTTCAGGAAAACGCATTGGCTTTCAAGAGCAAGGACGTGAGTCAGTAATCTAAGAACAAAAATACAGACCTCTTAATGGAGAAGAAAACTGCCATTTATTTCAATTGAGTTTTGTTTCATTAAAAACTCTATGATGACAGTAAAACAGAAATAGAAACATTTTTTTAACCAACTTCAAACCTCTAAAGACAAAATAAACACACACACATTTCAAATATTGCCACTGTTCTAACAAACCTCATTATTACTATTGATTGTTGTCATTTCAGTCTCCTGAACTACTAGCCTTGACTATTAATCAACTTATTGGTTTACTGGACTAAACATTAACCATATTATTTCTATATATAAAATGTTCCACAGCTACGGAACTTAGTGTATTTTGGTAATTTGCTGTGTATGTATGTGTGTGTCTGTGTATGTTTAAGGCTTGAGTCTATAAAACATTTGTTTCTGTTGAAGAGTACAAATACTTGCTATACGGCAGCACATATACATACATATATATGTTAATATTTGCAACTTGAGGGTGGTTACACCTTATTCTGAGAGGTCACGAGAAACCACTTAAAACCATGACAGTACAACCTTTAGTAACTTGAACTCACCATACCATCACCATCAAGAAAAACAAAAAACCCACAGTTCAAAGAAAACACAGCAGGCCCTAGGAAGTATTGTAGTTTGCTGCTTTACTAATCAGAAAGACCTAAACAAAAGTAAACTAACCTGGGTAGGCTCATAAAAGTGAACTTTTTGGATGCATCCTGAGACTATCTATATATATAAAAGCCTAAGCGACCGTTCAACCAGTAGCTATGATGTGCACTGACCACCAGGGGGAAGGCACTCAATGCACAGGCATGGAAACATGGAACAGACTGATGAATCTGAGAGAGAAGGGGGGAGGGCAGGAAGAGATTAACCGAAGATCTTATATGCATACTAGAGGCCCGATGCACGGATTCATGCACCAGTGGGGTCCCTCGGCCTGGCCTGCAGGGATTGGGCCGAATTTGTGCAGCGGGTCTCCGACATCCCCCGAGGGGTCCCGGATTGTGAGAGGGCGCAGGCCAGGCCGAGGGACCTCACCGGTGCACGAATCCGTGCACAGGGCCTCTAGTACTGTATAATTACAGTCAATGTTCGCAATGATTTTCATTTTTTCTCACCAACTCGGGAGAACCTATGCATGCAATTTAGAAGGAATTTCAATAAAGGCTAACCCAAAAGGTTTCTAGTCAACCGAAGGTTAGCTGGCAGTCAACCAGAAACTTGAATAAGAGTACTACTACATATTCAGGAATTACCAGTAGCGGTTTGGCCTTCTTTGAATATACCATCACCACACTGACTAAAACTACACCGGTTACCATGTCAAAGGCATGCAAATTGAAAAGATGATCAATGATCCCACTGTGTCCTTCCTTATCAAATCACCTGTATGGGCGCATATTTTGAGAAAACATTATTTTCTCTTCCTTTTCTTTTAGAACATAATTACATATTGCCTTTCTATATTTTAACTATAGACTTTTTGGGGTGGGGGTGAGGGGTGGGGGAACGAACTCTCCCCCCCCTACTATGTATATGTATATGTTTTGCTTTTCCTATTGGTTTTATCTGTACTACTTTAGCCAGAGACCTGTGGGGGTGGGGGGTTGAAGAACGGATCCTTGGTATGTTAAAGACAAAATGGCAACTTCACACAGTTTTCAAGTAAATAGAATCCCTGATATAACTGCAACGTAATATGTAGTTTGGGTGGTAGTAAAAAAAAAAAATCTTTTAGCAACTTTGTCTCATACTTCACAAAATGAGCTTTGGCTCCGAGTCTCTTAAGGCACAAGACCTGATAGACAGCTTTTATTGGTGGCCTGCACTTCTGATTTGGATAAGATAAAAAAATACTATAATATAAATATAAATAAAAATAATAAGTAATTTTGTTAGAGTTTGAAATCATTGAGTGAAATTGGAGGAAGAAATCCAAATAAAACTAACATCTGGTATGTGTAAATATTTGTTGCTAGTGTAAAAAAAAGTGTAGTTCAGACAGTGCAAAACTATTGGAGAAATGCCTTCAGAATAGACTTGACATCGTAGAATCACAGTGCTGTCTCAAAAATAGTGAAGGGCTGTCCATTGGAAGCATTCACAACCATATGGCCATTCTGAGTAATATCTGGATAATTCCTTTTGAAGTACACCTGTAATAAAAAAAGAGGCATGAGAGCACATGGGGCAATGCATTTCTATGTCCACTTCTTCATGTGAAGCAAATCATATAACTCACAGAGGCACAGTTAAAAAAAATACAGGGATGCTTTTATTCAATAAAGTAAGCCCCATTAAAACCCTCGGTAGGGCTGGGCTTAAATGCCAAACAACCTATAGATCCACTTACTAGTTCTGATCATTCCGATCCACAGATATGTTTTATCACTACATTAAATTGATAAGCAAAGTCATTTTACTGACTCAAAACCTGGAGATAAATTAAAAACAGGGTGACAAAGAGGCTGGGAAATCTAGCGTCTGCACGAGGGTTTCTCATTTTCACACATAAAATGAGCACAATAGATCTGGATGTTAATATCAGGTTGTAATCCCTGTATTTTATAAACTCTGATTGACAACTATTGAAACGCTGGCGTATATGTATGAAATATCCCAGCATTTAATTTGTGCGGCAAGGTAGTTATAGGGGCCATAGAAATGTGATCTGTGGATAGTGGGACACGATAATGAAAAGAGAAGCAAAAGCTTTAACAATGACGCAACCAGGCAACTTCTCTCAAATGTAAGATGATACCAAATAATAGGACGGTTCTTTGCCAAGCCTTTGACTTCTTGAATTCTACCAATTTCTAGCTGAACTAGGAGAGATACAGGTTTTCTGATAAATGTATAATCAGAACATAAAGGAAATGAAATGCTGTCAGGGCTCTCTGTTCCACAATCATCAGTTTTTAGCAGCTGTATCGTATCTCAGTGCCTTGACAGATGCGCATAACAAAATGAAATAATGTCAAGGCTTGTGAGCTCTTATCTCAAAATGTGTTTGGGTGAAAAAGGACTTCAAATGTAATTTTTTCCCCCCATAAGACGAATGTGGAAAGTTTTGTCTGAGTCTTTAAAACAGAAAATGTGCCATCTTTCTGAGGCTGACACGTGTCATGAGCTGGGTCTCTTAGTCATACGATCCTGGATCTATTTTATAAGACCTGGCTCCTAAAGATATTTGTGGTTGCTGTCAACAAAGTTATCATAGGAGACAATGAACTTCACATACAGAAATGAAAAGTGCTGAGAGAGCCACCTTATATTAAAGTGTACTTTTTCTCTTGCTGCTTACATACTTCCTATCTCAGAAACAGGACTGCATCTGAAATAACTATATATTTTCACTTAGGAGAGAAATAATAAATCCTTCAATAATGCTTGGATCCCACTGGGTGAAATCTGAGGCTATTTTGATTACAATGTAAGTATTTAAAAATAAGACCTGTTTTGGGAGCTAATTTATACTACCTCCCTCCTCCATTTTTTAAAGATAACCATATTTTGTGTGATTATATTTTACTAGAGGCCCGGTGCACAAAAATCGTGCACTCAGAGGGGTCCCTCAGCCTGGCCTGCACCCTCTCGCAGTCCAGGAGCCCTTGGGGGAAGTCCAACTGCCTCGGAGGCGGGAGAGGCTTCCGTCACCGCCACTGCACCGTGAGCCCAGCTTCTGGCTGAACAGCACTCCCCCTGTGGGAGAGCACTGACCACCAGGGGGCAACTCCTGTGTTGAGTGTCTGCCCCCGGTGGTCAGTGCATGTCATAGCAACTGGTTGTTCTACTGTTTGGTCAATTTGCATATTAGCCTTTTATTATATAGGATGTACTCCAAAAAACCTATTTCTTGGTGAAATTAAAAACAGCCAAGAGAACAAATGGAAATTGATTTTGTTTTCTACTGCTTGATAGTCCTTCCCAAATAAGCCAGTTACTTTCTCCATAACCCTCTTAATGTGACTTTTTAAATAAAGAATATGTTATTATTGCCCTGGCCGGGTAACTCAGTTGGTTAGAGAATCATCCCGATACACCAAGGTTACAGTTTGATCCCTGGGCAGGGCACATACAAGAATCAACCAATGAATGCATAAATAAGTGGAACAACAAATCAGTGTTTCTCTATGTTATTATTAGCAACTTTTCACTAAAATGGTCTTAGCTTCATGGTCTGAAATACTTGAAATTGAATACTGAAAACATGCTTCCTGTGTATAAAATCCTTGATTTGACCTATCTTTTTCTCATCTGTTGCCAAGTTTCATCATACACTGCCTAACATCAGAGGTGTGAGAAGGCATCTTTTTCACAGTGCGGATTATGAAGGTAGATGAGATGACCGAACACTTGTTAGCAGGGTGTATAGGCTAAGCCTTTGGAGAGGACAATCTCAGCTTTCTATTCTGGAACTCACTGCTGATCCGGGAAAAATCACTGAACCTCTACCCATACTGGCTGCCTCATCTGTGAAATGAGACAATGACTTACCTCACAGGAACTAATTAATGGCTACAAACTGCAGGCTGGAAACACCCCGAATTAAGTGTTGGGTGTGGTTATGATGCTGCTCAGAGAACTGGCCCCTTAGTCCATGGACAGCAGCAGCAGCACCCAGATCGAATGAAGAAACAAAACATCTGGGAGGCCCTTTTGTGGATCTCTTGATATTATCTTTATAGAACCCCAGAGTCATAGTGCAGTGAATGTGGTAACCGGGAGAGGCAGAAAGGTAGTTTAAAGATTACAGAAATTGGAGTACTAACTAGTGACTTTGAACAGTTACTTAGGCTCTTCTGCCTTAATTTCGCCCTTTGTCAAAAAGGGATAATGCCAACTCAGAACAATGTGTGAAGGCTAAAGAAGACAATGCGTGTTGGTTTCTTGTCGCTCTCCCCTTCCTTCTCTTGGGTTTAGTTCATTATAATTTCATTAATATAGGTTGAAACTATTAATATAGGTATGTGCACTCACTAGTCAATAAAGCCACCATCATGGAATTAGGTCTTACTAAATGCAACGGCAATAAAAGGTCCCCTGCATGAGCACAGCTGATGGCTGGCTTGGTTGGAGCGTTGTCCCGTACACTAAAAAGGTTGTGGGTTTGATCACTGGTTGGGTCACGTAAGGGAGGCAACCCACTGCTGTTTCTTTCCCTTTTTCTCTCTCCCTTATTCTCTCTCTCTAAGGTCAATAGACAAGCCCTCGAGTGAGGTTTAAAAAGAGAGGGGGGAGTTCCCTTGCATAGATAATGGAGAGCCTTTTTTTTTTTACATTATACTCATAAGCCATTATTCATTATGTTGAATTCTGGTTAAAACTCTGTCAGTTCATTCTCCCTGAACTGTATGGCCCAAGTTCAAAGCCAGTAACTCTCAAACTAATCTTTAAGGCAGGTCTAACTTTGGTGTACATATTGGCATGTGTGTTGTCAAAGTTAAAGAGGGTTAGAGGGGATGTCTGCTTTTAAGATAATGGAAATAGATTTTCTTTCCCCTTTTCCTCTTAGAAATCACCCTAAACAGCAAGGATATGAAATTAAAGAAAAATCCCATCTTTGATGAAATCAGGAGTCACCTGAAATCCCAAATGGCAAAATACTCGGAAGAGCTGCCATATGCAACTGAATCTGATGGGGCTGTGACAAGACAGAGAGAGGGTCCCGATGGGAACAGATCTCAGCAATCATGGAAGAGCACAGTTCTACAACCCACTGGCAAACTCTACGATGTGTCAACAAGGAACCATATAGATTCACTATCTTTCCCTGAAGCAGACATACTGGTTAGGTCCAAGGAGAAGTGAGGTTCTAAAACCCAAGTAGTACCTGGCCAGCATGGCTTGGTGGTTGAGCAACAACCTAGAACCAGGAGGTTACTGTTTGATTCCTGGTCAGGGCATGTGCCTGGGTTGCAGGCTCGATCCCCAGTAGGGGGTGTGCAGGAGGCAGCTGATCAACGATTATCTCTCATCATTGATATTTCTATCTCACTCTCCCTCTCTCTTCCTCTCTCTGAAATCAATAAAAATATATTAAAATAAATAGATAAATAAATAAGTTAATTAACTTTAAAAAATGCAAGTAGCATTGTAACTGCCCATCTCTGCAGCTAGAGAGGATGCAGGCTAAATGAATATACGTTCTCAATTTTTCTCTTGCATAAGGGCATACACACACATTCTTTTTCTGAATCAAAGGAGCTTCCATGTTAAGCAGAGAGAATTCTCTTTATCCTGAAATAATGACATAGCCACATTATCCATAAATATATATGTCTAGGAAAAAGTCATTTAATTCAGTAGCAGGACCTTTTTTTTTTTTTCAATTCTCATCCAAGGATATGCTCATTGATTTTTATAAAGAAAAAAAAACATCAATGTGAGAGAGAAACATCGATTGGTTGCCTCCTGTAAGCACCTTAACCAGGAATTGAAACTGCAACCTAGGTATGTGCCCTAACCGGGAATTGAACCCCACAATGATTTTGGTGTACAGGACAACACTACAACCAACTGAGCTATCTCTCTACCCTGGCCAGGGCAGGACCTTTTATAATAATAACAAAAAAGAAGTAACAGCATCTGTAAAATATCAGAGATTTAAGTATTTTTTAAAGATTTGAAGGTAAACAAAAGGAAAACTACTTAAACAACTAAAATTTGGTGGAAAACTAAGAAAGGGAAGATATGTTTATCAGGGGAGTCAAATCATAAAAAAGAACTAAAGTATTCCTAACAGAAATGAAAAGAGCATACATAATACAATGAGAAAAATTTTTTTTCAGGCTACAAATTAAAAAGCTAAAAACAAAACCCAGAACACTAAAAACTGAAAGCATAACATGACAGAACTAAGATAGGACAGAACTATAATCTCAATAAATGTAAATGGGCTAAACTCATCTTTTTAAAAAAAGGGCTAAGATTAAATCTCAGAGCTAAGCCTAACTACATGCCAGTAACAGAAGATACACCTAGTTTGATATTAAAAGACAATCAAAGACACACCTGGCAAATGACAAACAGTGAAAACAGGGGACTCAATTTTAGTTTTAAACCATCATGGATTCAGGGTCAAGAACATTAAATGAATAAAAGAAAAACACTTAAAATATATTAGAAATAGAGTTCATAGTGAAAACACAAGACATGAAGATCTGTGGACTAAAAACCATAGCACCAAAATTACCAAAAGAGAAATGACAAGAACTATATTGGAACTTGTTACAAGTCACCTAAGTCCAAATGACATCAAATGAACCTAAATAAATAAGGTTAGAGAAGACTTAAATAATGTGATTAATGAAGTAGATCTAATTAAAAGTTATTAAGCCCTCTACCCTAAATAGGCAATAGTTCATCTTTTTAAATGCCCAAAGATTATTTTTAAAAATTGCTTATATACTAGAACACAAAAAGCATTAATTCTGAAAGGAAACAGTACAGATACCATTTTTCATCACAAGACAATGAAAATCAACACTGATGAGTAAATTGAAAACAAACATAAAACCCCAATCACCAGAAAATTTTAAAGGCCTCCTTCTTAAATAATTCTTGGACCAAAGAGGAAATCAAAACCAAATTGCAGAATCTCTATCTAAAAATTTAACTATGACAAAGCACTACACAGAACCTCTAAGATATAACTAGAACAATATTCAAAGAACAGTTCACTTTAAAAGAACGAAAACAAATGCATTCAAAAAGTAAATAACAATAAAATAAACCAAAAGAAGGAACTAAAAAAGATAAAAACAGACTGATAAACTGTAAATTAAAATACAAAAACAAGTAAACCTGAGAGCTCCTTTAGAGGGAAAAACAGTTAATTAGAAGGAAAAAAGGGGAATAGAGAAGAAGTAAGCATAAATACTATACAGCCACAGAAAAGAATGAGATAACTCTATGCATTGGCATAATCTGAGATATCTATAATAATAAAAGCGTAATATGCAAATTGACCGAACAGCAGAATGACCATTGGGATGACCATGCTATGACACCCACTGGCACCAGCCCAACCAAGGCGGGTGCCATGTGATTGGTCGGGGGCCCGGCCATCGCCCCATGATCGCCCTGCAGAGGGAGGCTCAGGCCACTGGCCGATTGATCAATGGGGGGCTCCACGATCACCCCAAAGCAGGAGGCCCAGGACACCGACTGGCAGGCTGTGGTGGGTTGGCGGGGCCTCCCTCTGCGGGGGCGATCCATCACGGAGCCCCGGCCAGGTGGGAAGGGCCTACCTCTTTGGGGTGATCCATTGTGGAGCCCCGTGATCTATCACTCCAAAGAGGGAGGCCCAGGCTATCCGGCGGGCGGTGCTGCAGCAGGTTGCCTGGGCCTTCCTCTGCAGGGGCGATCCATCGCAGAGCCCCGACTGGGTGGGCAGGGCCTACCTCCTTGGGGCGATCGATCGCGGGGCTCCTGGACTGTGAGAGGGCACAGGCCAGGCTGAGGAACACCTCCCCACTCCCCCCGACCCCCAACCCCCATGCACGAATTTCATGCACTGGGCCTCTATTAATATACATCAATAGAAGAGTCAATGGTGCCTGGGCTCCATCCTGGGCGAAGAGCTATGATGACAAGAGTGGTACAGTGACTTACTTTTGCTTTATACATTTTAAAAACTAATTAAAGAGTAAAGATTTTTAATTTTGCAGCATTAAATGCATTATTTGTTTAATAACTATTACAAATAAGTTTTAACTTTTTAGAGTCTCTAAAGCTACTGAGAAAAACTTTGGATGCTTCTTTTGTTATTACTTAGAGGAAAGGGTTCAACCCACAGAATTAAAAAAAAACACATCTCCTATGTGTTAAAAAAAACGATCTATATTCTATCATTGATGGGTAGAATTGTTTTATATTTGTGATATATGCTTTATATTCTTCAAAGCACTTAGGCAAACTCTCTCTCATCTCATCCTTGTCATAACAGTGTGAAGAAGCTGGGCAACTGAGGACTATAGGTGAGACAGGTGAGGGCAGGTGTGCATTACAGGTAAGAACTCTGAGGCTCAGAGACATTGGGGGACATATAAGCCCATTTGGCCACCAAGTGCCTCTTAGGCTCCTAGAATCTAGGACATTAATATTTTGTAACTTCTGGGTTGTATCTGGTGATGACACGAAGAGATAAAATAACACCTCTGTCACACACTAGGAACCAAGGAACTTCGAAAACCTCTGTGTTGGTCTGCTTCATCATGGAAGAGAACGAATGGCAGGCATTCATCCTTTGGAATGAGCTGAACTGTGTCCTCTCAACATTTACATGTGGAAGTCCTAACCCTCCAATACTTCAGAATGTAACTGTATTGGGTCAATAAATGAGGTCATATTGGTGGGCCCTAATCTAATCTGACTGGTGTCCTTACAAGAGGAGGAGACTGGCACACAGACACATACCAGGGAAAACCATGTGAAGATACAGAAAGCGAGATGACCACTTACAAGCCACGGAGCGAGGCCTTAGGAGAAACCAATCTTGCGCCACCTTGAGCTCAGAATTCCAGCCTCCAGAACCGTGAGGAAATAAATTTTGTTGTTTAATCACCTTATTCTGTGGTACTTCGCTATGGTAGCCCTAGCAAATTAAGGCACCCTTCAATTCTGTCTCTAAAAAGTACTTTCGTTACAATTTTATGATCATCTAAAAGGGTCCACTGGAGAGTGATTCAGCTTGCCCGCACCAATATTTTCCAGAAAAGCAACTATGTGGTCAAGAAAACGTGACCTAGAAGTGAACTTTTCCCAGATGAATGAATTCTTTTCAAATGAATGAATTCTAATCTGTTAGAGCGTAAAGCATGCTGATTTAGCTAATCCTCCTGGTATAACAGTTTTGAATGATGCATTGATATTTGATGCTGGCACATTTAAATAGTTGACAGTCTATCAGTTTGTTCTCCCAAGAGGACCAAATGTATACAGAAATAATGTCAAGAAGATCTTCAACTGGAATGAGAATCAAGATATGTATTTCCTGCCCGGCTGGTGTGGCTCAGTGGCTGAGCATCTATGAACCAGGAGACCACAGTCTGATTCCCAGTCAGGGCACATGCCCGGGTTGCAGGCTTGATCCCCAGTGAGGGGTGTGCAGGAGGCAGCCGGTCAATGATTCTCTCTCACATTGATGTTTCTATCTCTATCTCCCTCTCCCTTTCTCGCTGACATCAATAAAAAATATATTTTAAAAAAAATAATAACATTTACTGAAGGAACAGATTATAGCCCCACCTTCATTCTAAGGAATCTTAGTTTCCTCACTGTAAAATGAATGTTGAATTGTATTATACTTATCTATGATCTTTTCTCATTACTTAACACCTTTTTAAATGGAGACTTCTACACTTAGGTGGGGACACAGCTCTCTGATGTAAAATGCCCGATCTCAAAGAACAAAAAGGGTTTGTGAGATTCCTGGCTGTTTTTTGTGACTAAATTTATACAGGGAATCCCAAAGGATCCATCGGAGTTAGGGTCAGGATTAGGGTTGGAGAAGCTTTGACCAGAGACAATGTAGTAAATGACAGCACTGTGTGAATTCCAGGCATAAAAAGGACTAGTATTCCAAGTGAAGCTTGCTTACGTTCACATACAACGTAAGAACTGGGGAAAAGTTCAGAACACAGACTTCGCCATCCCTAAATCTAGGGCTGCACTCCAACTCTGCCAATGGTTCAGCTAGCTATGAGACCCCGCGCAATTTCCTTTCCCTCTGCAGGTCCCCACCTCCTACCCAGGCACACCGATTAGCACAACCGGCACCACAGTGCATGGCACCCATGTTTCAGAGCCTCATCCTCCTCACTCATCGCCATCACTGCTCAACACAGAAACTGAGTATCTCTGCTCTTCCCAAATTTTTTGGTTTACATGTCAACGATCAGAAGCATGCCTACCATTTCCCTGGTAGATCTTTCTAGACACAGTGATCAATATCCTGCATTTCCGCCCTCAAACTCTCAAATTTCTGGGATGTATCTCGACACACCATTTGCATCTCCAATGTGCTGAGCACCAATTAGAATGAAATGCAATGGAGCTGTAAAATATGACAATCGGAACCCACAGAGTCCAAATGTGTAAAAAGCCTAATCTGAACTCTCTCAGGCACACATGCCTGCACAGGTGAGCATCACACTTCCCATACCCCACCCCACCCCCACCTCCACCATGTCTGCCAGTGCTTAGCAGACCTGACTTCAACCTGGGACGTGTTGTTAAGACCCAGCCATGAAGCTTTGTCTCCGGAGGCTTATAATTGACAAGGGCACAGAGTGCTTGTTAGAACCGCTTGGTGCCAGATCGCGAGGAGTGAACTGCTGAGACGGACTCTAATTACCACTCCGCCTGGCGCGCTCACCTGTTTTGCTGTTTCAGTGAGGGCAGCAGCTTCTGCCTTGCCCAGCTGTTGCACCATCTTGTAAAATAGGCTCTCTTTATTTTGCAGCAAAACATAGGGCTCATCATATTCTTTCAGTCTTCCTGAATCCAAAACCTGTTAATCAGCAGAAAGAAACCCATTAGCACACAATGTTTTGCAGCAGCATATTATAACTCAGACAATGTTTCGGAAAGAGGCAGGGGAGGGAGAATAGAGAGAATCTATTTGGGTGGTAGGCCTGGCGGGTGTTTAAATGGGTTGATTACCCTGTTTTACTAGGCAGACAAAGGCCTCAACCCGACCTTTTATTATTATAATGTTATAGGAAAGGAAGAAAAGGAGAGTTTTAGGCTATGATTAAGGGCACTCAGCAGTCCCCTGGCATTTTATATTCTGCCAACGGCATTTTGGGTTGTTTCCATTAGTTAGTGCTTTTAGCTCTCAGGCTCTGAGCTCTGAGGGCTATTTATACACATATTCAGAGTTGGGAAGTTTCTTGATTTAAGAAAATCAAACTCAATTTATTTAAAAGGTGATGACCGGACAGCAAATTAATTGCTGAGCTGGTTTGACAGAATCTGAGCAACATTTGGAAAAGAAGTAAACACTTCTGGGGTTCCCTGGAACATGCCACCTGGCAGGAGGGGACAGCACCCCTGCGCGGAGACTCGGGCGCATCTTGAGGTTGGCTTTGGATGCAATTTATTATTCGGAGAGGGGAAGGCTGGCTGAATGAGCTGCCACCTAAGCAGCTTTAGCATAATTGCTCTGCACAGAAGAAATCTCCAGAAATCCAATTTTCTCTTTGGATAAGACTAAAGAAGCAATTAAGAAATCGAGCTCCAAATTCCAATGATCAGGGCCCACACAGCGCACGGGGGCAGCCCTGTCGGAGCTGCCGAGGATCTGAATATCTGTGTTCACCATAATCTTTCCTTGCTTCTTTTTTTCTCTTTCTCCAGTGGCTTGCCCTCCAGCCATTTTATCGCTCATTAATATGTCCACTGGAAACTGAAAGGGAGAGGAAGGGGCTCTTTACTCCGCATTTCGACTTATTAGTGGCTTTGGTTAATGGCTTCAGACAGAGGGGAAAAAAGAGTCTGAAACAATTGGCCCAAATGAGGTACCAAGGCAAACAGCTCTGATGGTAAGTGGCACTTAGTTGTTCACTTAGGCCGTATTTAGAGTAAATTTATCTTAAAAGAATATGCTGACAATGTAGGCAGGACACACAGGTTGCTTTTCCACATCTAGGTATTACAGTTAATGGGAGACATTTATTAGGTCTCTTATAAAGGGCATTTTCCCGTTCATCTTTTGTTTACGACTGTGAACCATTGCTAAGGGCAGCTTTCTCAGAGGAGTTCAAGAATAATTGAATCTGTCACATCCACATAATAATTAAAATGTCCTATAATTTGGCATGACAATTTAGATGCCCTGAATGTATAATTTACTTAAGCATAGCATTATAGAGCGTAACCACTCCTCCTGATGAAGAAAAACACACACGCAATTTTAAAATACATGTCTCTCTCACGCTAAAGGCTAAGTAAATAAGTGAATCCAATTACTTTATATGTAATGAAAAACTTGATATTCTGCAAAAGCAACAAGTAAGCTTTTAAAAATCACCATTGCAGAGATGGTGGGGAATGAGTTCTCTGGCTATAAAGATTCACATCATTTTTAATGGAGGTAACTACTAAGATCTTGTCCTTGTCCAACTTCCTATCTATTCAAATTTGACTGAATAGCAAATCTTTCCTTTTTCTTGCAGATTGTCTGAAAACACAGGAATGCCACTGAGATGAGGAGTTTTCAGAATTGACCAATATCTAAAAAGGCAGAGCCAGAAACATTAATGTTCTCAAAAAGCAACAGGACTAACAATAAAATGACAGGAATATCATTTAGGTCTAAATATTTTGAGCCTTATAAGCATTAGCAATTAATGGCCATGCATTATATTTCATAAGGGAAATTTTCTTTTTTCTTTTTGGCAGGGGAATGACAGAACTGTAGTAATTTGTTATAAGTTTGATAATTTATTAAGGTTAAATTTTAACTTTTGTAAGAAATACTGTAAAGATGGAAAATAAATACACCTCTTTAATACTCTTTTGATATACATTAAAAAAATACAGTATCTTAAAATGAACTATATTAGTATAGACCCAAATGGATGAATTCACAAAATCTGAGAGATGAGATGCCCTGGCATATATGCAATGTTACAAAGGGTATAGCTACCTTAAGATCAATAAAATCACCCCATAATGAAAACAGCAGCCTTTTGAATTTGAAAGGGAACATAAAAATAGATATGGGTTGAGCATTCACTATGCTACCTGCTTTAGTCACCAGTTAATTCTCAAAATAGAGTAGACAAGCACAACGCAAAATTTCCTTCCTCCTTCCCTTCCTTCTATCCATCCATCCTCCCTGTAAGCATTAAATGAGCACCTAATACCACAGCACTGTTTTAGGAACAGGAGATTAAAAAATGAGCCAGACACAATCTGCAGCCAGAGATAGTCTGCAGAAGGCTGAATCAGTTAAAGAATTTGGCTGAGGCTGCAGAATCAGTAGATGGCAGAGCTGGGATCTGAACCCAGGTCTGAACCTGCATCCTTTCTTCTCCATGTGAGTACCCAGGGAAAGACACTGTTTATTATCAAAAGCAAAATATTTATTTTTATCAGAAGTAAAATAAGGGAGATGAGAATTTTAACATTCAATTTTCTAAGATCCCTTTCCACATGGATACTATCTTATGTTAACTTAGTATAACTTAAAGAAGTATGCCGGTAAACATAAACATTTCTCCTGTCCACTTTCCACTGCAATTTTATTATAATTAGGGCTCAAATTATTTACTGTGTGCCTGGTATATACTCACAGAAAAAGAAAACTGATTTTATTAAACTATCAGGATTACTAAAGAGCAAGTAACAGGTGACCAAAACACATTTAAGGAAAATGTAAGTAAACTTTCATTAGTTCTTGAGTTTATTCGGCAAACATCTATTGCATGCTTAACTGTGTGCATGTTATTAGCTGATTATTGCAGAAGGGGCGGAGCTATGTAAGTCGCAGCCCCTGCCTTTAGGGAGCCTACACTGAAAGAAGAGAGAGAAAAGGCCTCAAATGTCTATGATGCCAGAAAAAAAGCACAGAAAAGAATAAGGTAGCCCTAGAATAAGGTAGCCTTATCCAGCATCAGCCTGTGGACTGAAGGGTCCCAATTTGATTCCGGTCAAGGGCACATGCCCAGGCAGTGGGCTCGATTCTCAGTAGGGGGCATGCAGGATTCTCTCTCATCAATGATGTTTCTCTCTCTCTCTCTCTCTCTCTCTCTCTCTCTCTCTCTCTCCCTCTTCCTTCCTCTCTGAAATGAATAAAAAAATATTTTTTTTTAAAAGAAGAAAGTTAGCAGCAGAAGAGATGACTTCTAGCCACAGGTTCTGAGGACAAACTTCAAGAAGAGCAGTGAACTGGGCTTTGAAGAATGAATGGATAGACTTGAACATAAAGAAATAGAGATGAATGGATATAATCATTCCTCATACAAGGAACAACATGGACCAAGAGGGCTGGAGGTAAGCATGTCAACTCCAGGCCCTGGCATTGTACACGACAAGTAACAGGCACCCAATACAAGCTGGCTGAAAGTTATATACAAAGGAACTAAATTCAAGGCATGACTGGGTGACTGCCCAGTGGTGTAGTTTGGCAAAAATACAGGGTGAGATCAAGGTGGGAATAGTGTAGCTGTCTAACGCAGAGGATATAGGGATTATAGGATTAGGGATACAGCTTTGGAGGACCACATGCCTCAGGTTGATGGCCATGGGCGAGAGGGAAAGAAGTGAGGGACAGACAAGGATTGAGGATGAAGGCTTGAAACTCATTTATATCAAATCTTGGAAAAGAGAGGAGGGAAGGCAGTGCTGTGTAGACTAACCCAGGTGCTAAGGGAGCTGCTTTGGGATACAGGCTGAAGCAAGGCCAGGAATAGCCTTTCCCCTCTCAGTCTTTACATTTACTGGCCTGATCAATGACTCTAGACCTTTTAGAACAAGCAAACATAATACAACTCCCAATTTCCTTTGTGTACAGATAAAGAGGTATAACTTGGAATTTTTATTTTAACATCCTTTACAGCTATGAGAGGCCCCTGAAATCTCCCGCTGTGTCTGCATTCTTCCTGCAACCCAGGTTAAACTATAAATAAACCACACATTCAAGTCAGTGTGAGGGCAACCCCTCGGCCCCAGGATCTCTCCAGGAACGCCAGCCTCAAACCGCTCGCCGCTCTCTAGCACAGCGGTTCTCAACGTGTGGGTCGCGACCCCTTTGGCGGTCGAACGACCCTTTCACAGGGGTCGCCTAAGACCATCCTGCATATCAGATATTTACACTACGATTCATAACAGTAGCAACATTACAGTTATGAAGTAGCAACGAAAATAATTTTACGGTTGGGTCACAACATGAGGAACTGTATTTAAAGGGCCAGAAGGTTGAGAACCACTGCTGTAGCAGGCTGAGGAAAAATATATCACGTTGGATGAGTCCATCAGTTACATAAGCTCAATGAAGATGTGTTTATCAGGCCTGTGTATCTGCAAATATTCCAAGTAGCTGTCCTAGATATAAAACTAAATGGACCCATTGCAAAATAATTTAATCCACTTTAATTGGCAGGATGCCATCAGTGATAGTGGGATGGCTGCGGGGAGGGGTGGGGGGCAGTGCAGGGTGGAGGAAAAGCCTGGGGGTGGAAAAGCGATGCTGGGATAGTTTTCAATAGGCGACCAGCAATAAAGGGAGATCCCACTTAGCGCCAAGCAGGGTGGAGTGGGGGTGGGAGGGGGTTCTGAGTTTCAGATGCCCGCTCCTGGCTGCCAGGTGATGTAGGGGCACAGGAACAGTTATCCACCTTGAAGCTCAGTCCTTTGATTGGTAAAATAGGTGCCTGTGGTTTTCTCTGTGGTAAGTGTTACTCAAGATCCATTCTTAGGTCTTGAAATGGAAGCCATTCTTCACACCCGGGGAGGATGAAGACTAAGGTCACGGTGGCCTCCACAGCTGCTCCCGCAAAGTGTCTG